AAAACGTACATACAGCCGAACGTATAACCTCATCCTTTTTTTTGAAGTCGGTTAAAAATGCGTGTTAATGTAAGTGAGTTTAAGTGTACGTGAGCTCTAATATAGTGGCGACTGAGGCTGAGATTTAAAAATTTATGATTTAAAGTTTTGAGTGGCATTACAACTGTTATGGACAGACGTATTGCTTACCGTCAAGTGCACGATTGTTCGCCCCGTCACTTGGTATAATAAAAACTTGGTATAACTTGAGGCTTTTCAAGTTGAGAGTGAATAAGGTTTTAGGTGTGCATGCTCCATCGTCGACTTCTCACTTTCCATTAGGTGTGATGGAAGTCAAATGCGCACAAATTTTTAATATAAAAATGTCTGCAAACCCCTGTAATCATCATCATCATATCAGCCGAAAGACGTCCACTGCTGAACATAGGCCTCCCCCAAAGACTACCAGACTAGCCGGTCAGACGCGACCTGCATTCATCGGTTACCCGCCGCCCTTACCCGTGCATTTAGTAGGTGACCGTCCCACTGAACGAGGAGACCCGTAGAAGAAGCAGTTGGCAGGGTACGTAGCAGGGCAGAGAGATTCTCGAGTGGAGATCGCGAACCGGAAGGCATTCAGTGGGACCTCTGTAGTGGTAATTAAAATTGAACTTACCCCGTAAAGGCTCGTGGGTGGAAAGATTAAGGCCCTTTTTTGAATATCACTCTTCGTAGACGAACAAACTAAAAACCTAAAACACAAACATTGAATATTGATTACGAAAATAACATAAAAACAATATCATTTCACATATCACTTACAATATGAACAAAATGTTATTACACTTCATTTTATAGTAGTTACAAAATATAAAGGACGTTTCAAACTACGCATACACTCAAGTGCAGTATTAGTATCTACTAAAGTAACTTCCACATTGTTGTGCTCTACATTTGACACCGTTCTTTAGAAAATTATACACTGTTCGCTATATAACGGTTCAGCTATTTAACTTAACTTTGTGACTGAATTGTCTGACTCAAAGTGCGCCAAATTTAGGTGTTAATTGTTCTAGAAGATGGTTCGTGTTATTTTGTTAATGATGCTTTCATAGTTTAAAGGTATTTCAGAAAAGTTTACAAAAGTGCTTTAATGACATGAACGTCATAATAATAGTTATATTTGATTTTATTATACAAACAGATAACAAATTAGTTTAAGTAAGAAATAAAGCGCAGCAAAACAAACCCTTTTGGGTTTTGTCGTACGTTAATGACGTAAGTAGTGGTGTTGGGGTTACCACGGTGCCGTAGTGCATCAGGCATGTTCGCAGAAGCTCACACGGATCTGCCGTCCGCTAACTAAATATTTTTTTGAGAAATCATAAAAAACCATAACCCAGTTTTAGAATATTGATATTGTAGCTTTGCATCGTTAGGGTAAGTTCTGATACATCGAACGCGTTAACTAATTTTAATTGTTTTTAACCGACTTCAAAACAGGAGGAGGTTCTCAATTCGACTGTATGTTCTTTTTTTTTCTCTTTTTTTGTATGTATGTTACGCGATAACTCCGGTATTTGTGAACCGATTTTCATGATTCTTGTTTTGTTGGAAAGGGGGTACTTCCATAGTGGTCCCATTTCATTTTGAAGAAAATCATTTGCGTCGAAGGGTGGCTGTTCACGCATGAAGATTCATTTAAATAAATAGCGCCTAACTTTAATTTAGGAGCAATTACTTTAATGGTTGGTTTTTGCAATTTCTCCCATTCAAGGCATTTTTCTCTGAATATACTTTGAGTAGTGTCGTAGTGAGGACCTATTTTTATTATCTCCAGTGTCAAGTCCTGTATAGTGGCGAACTATATTTCAATAAAACTTAGCAAATAGACGTAATTCCACGTACTTTTGAGGTCAGTTTTTTTAGTACTCTGTACTGAGATTATTAAAAGTTGTGGTGCTCTTTCTATTTAAAACGGATATTTGTCTCTGCTACGGTTTAGTTAGTGGACGCCAGGGATGGCTTTCGTGCTATTCTTAGAAAGAAAGCTGCCTCGTGACTGGTAAGGTAGACTGCCCGATCATACTTCATTGCATGAGATTGCATTAGCTTTAATATGAGGACTATGTTTTTTGTTTTTTTCATTTTGGTAGAACATGATGGGACTCCATATATAATTGTGTAACTATTACAAGATTATGTAATGTATTTGTTTGAAGTAAAATAATTTTTTGTTTATAAATGCAATATTTTTTTGTGACGGGACGAACGAGTCGTGTGCCTGATGGTAAGCTACACGCCTGTCCATAACAGTTGCAGTGCCACGCAAAGATCTGAGGGGCACTGTCACTGCGCCCGTCAACATGAGACATAAGTTGACAAATCCCATGTGCTGTAATTTTACCAGCGCCCTTACCCTTCAAAACTGGAAGGCAGTAATACTAACAGTACTGCTTATCGGCAAAAATAGATTAGGTGGCAGTACTTTCCTGGGCGAATTCTTTCACAATGAGCTGTACTGCGTGCTGTACTTCAAACTGTAGACTTCAAAAGTAACAACAGCCAGTTTTAGATTTGAGCGGTGTTGGTAAGCGTTGTTACATATCTACTGTTTGACACAGGGGGTGGCTTGGCATAAAGAATCAGAGCACGCTAACTCATATGGCTTTCACCGTTACCTTGTTGCATATTGTTCCAATTTATAGTGTAGTACAACGCAGCATTGAGTATATAATAAGAAATAAACAATGAAATAATATCTATAATAAAATGGTTACAAGATAATAGACTACAAATTAATCTGAGTAAAACTGTGTATATGAATTTTAGACACAAAATTAATAAAGTATATACTCAACATAACATAAGCTATATGAATACAAAATTGAAGGAAGAGGAAGTTACTAAATTTTTAGGAATATACATAGACAATAATATAACATGGGAAAAACACATAGAAATCTTATGTATGAGAATAAATAGATTTGCGTACGCTTTGTGGAGACTATCTAAAGTAGTAGACCAAGATGCATTACTAACGGCTTACCACGGATATGTAGCCTCAATCATAAGATACGGTATTATGTTCTGGGGTTATGCCAAACGAAGTACGGACGTGTTGATTGCACAAAAAAGGTGCATTCGGGCAATTTATGGGTTGTGCCGTGTGGACAGCTGTATACCGCAATTTCAAAAACTGAGATTATTAACAGTTCCTTCAATATATATATTTGAAACGGTTCTTTTTGTTCGGAGAAATCTCACACTCTTCAGCAAGGTGGAAAGTACACGAAGACACAATAAATTGAAACTGGTTGCCTGTAAGACTACCCTCTTTCATGATAATATTTGTGCGGTGGCGCCAAAACTATACAATAAGCTGCCTAATTATATAAAAATCATCATCAATTTTAAAAAGCGATTATTTAATTTATTGTTTGGGAAAGCATATTATAAAGTCAGCGATTACTTAAATGACAAGAACATAGAATAATAGTTAACCACCACAAAATAATGACATAAATATAATTAAGAATTAAAATTAAAATGAAGATTTGACATTTAGTAATTAATTTTTTTTATTTTTTATTATATGGTACAACAACAGATAACAGACTACAAATAATACTAGAACTATTACATATATATAACATTATAAATCTGACATCCAATTATAATTGTACACAACATTTGTATTATCATAAATTACAACATAAAAGGACAGACGTTAAAAGTTTAAGTTTAAGTTATTTTTTGCCAATACTAGTAAACAGTGTTGTTTTGAAGCATTCAAAACTACAGAAAAAAATGTCATGGTGAGAACATATGCTGTTATATGATCGACACATTCTGCACAGTGGTGGTCCATTCTGTGAAACATTATTTTTGTAAGAGGTACACTAAAGAACTGCGGAGTACGCATATGTAGTAGTATACTGTTAAATTAATTTAATTATGTAAATTGTATGCCGTAAAATTGGCAATACGTAATGACACAACAATGTTAAATAAGACCTTATAGACGTGCGTACACAATAAATGATTTGATTTGATTTGATATAACCAGAAATAGAGACGAAATAAGGACCATATATTCCTGGGAACTCATCAGTGATATATCACTTGTAAATATCAACTCTCGTTTGCACTGAAGTTACAAACCAGAAAGCTGAAATAGTACATTGCCAACAACTGACCTGTGTGTACGTCTCCGTATATTCCAAAAATATTCTGTATTTATTGTAATAATAATATCTCTAACAATGCCGTGCTGTCCCATTCGGTGGTGCGGAGAAAAACTGCAAAATATCTAATTACAAAACAAACAGATTCAAATTTCATCGGTAATTACATATTAAATGTGTAATTTTACAATTTTCGTCCATTATAGCAAAGCTCAAGTTAACTGGTCAATTTGAAGTGAAAATATTGACAACACTCGTCAATTGTTTCGAATTCGGGCTGGCCAATCGGATCGCAATTGTCACGGTAATGGTATGACAAAATAGTTTTCAAACAAATTAAATGACATTTCGTCTCTATTTCTGGTTATATACTCGATGCCGGTCAGCGACGCACCGTGTGGCATCGCACTAAGCAAAGTGACCCGAGACTATACTAATCTAGAAAACTCGGACCTCCGGACACCACAGATGTCGCTTGTGCACTAAGTTCGATTCAAATCCGAGAAAATACAAATATTGCTTGTACGCGTAGAAATAAAATGCGATAATACGGATCGTCATTTCTAGAATTCAGAACTGATACTAGGACTAGGACGGATAGTCTTCTATGCTGATTAAGTACAGGTTCATCACCATCATCAACATTCAGCCATACGACGCCACTGCTGGTCATATGCCTCCCGCAACGATTTCTCAACTGTACGACAGAGGAAGATGCCAACAAACCTTCCGCGATAGAATACGGGTTGTTGGAAAACGGTGACTACGAACTACTACGCGTGCTTCGGATCCGGAAAGACGAGGGCGGGATAAGGTTGAACAGTTCTTCAGAGCACTCATCATGGTAATGCGTCATTGTGGTAGTTTGTTTATAATAAATAATTTTATATTTAACTACGCTTATACACTTCCGGACATATAATTCGAGCCGTGGTGCGTGGTGCATTTTCAGTATTAAGTGCCTAAGCCAAACAATGTTTGATTGATTAAAAACTATTATGCAATTTTGAAACTAGTATACTAAACGTATTTTCCATAAGTCCTTGTTGGGAATTTGGATTTGCAAAACCGGGGGAAAACTTTTTCTTCGATGATAACACAATTTTTGTATTCTAGCCCTTTACGACAAAAATGCGAAGTGCCTCAATTTATGTGTCCGAGACATTGACTTACAATTATATGGACGTCGGGTCCGCGCTAAAAAGTGTCCGAACTTATAGGGCGTTAAAATCGTATACAGAGCGTCGTTCACGCTCTAGTCTTCGTTTGTTCGACTGACAGCGAAGCAAGCAAAATTAGACAGTACTGCGACGACATTACAATTTCAATTCAACGTTTTAGCTTTTTCATATTCCTTTAAATGTCACTACGTTTAAATAGGTTGACTTGGGACATTTTATTTGTGGTTTTTGTATTAGACCCGTCGTCCATTTATTTGTAAGTCAATGGTCCGAGAGCATATTTTTCGATATTAGATATAGAGTCTATAAGTAAAACCGTAATTTAAAAAAGAACCCTTTAATAAAATGTGGGTCGTCAACTTTTTTCCAATAACCCATCAAAAATTTTCGGACTTCTAACATTCATAATAAACGGGAACAGACAGCTTTTTTCATCACCTCGACCTTTGATGCGTTTAACAAACTTATTTTTACCGCATTCTAAAACGGCATCGCCCTCGTAAACGTTTCGGACAGAAAGGTGAAATAGTATAGTGATTTCGGTACAGAGAGCAGCAAATTAATGTTTGCGGAGATATACAAATTGGGTTTGTGTCGTCTTGACAGATGTAATCGTAGAATTAACGTGACAAAAGCCACTGGGTATTATTAAGGACCACTTACACACGTCCCGCCTTGAGAGACATAAATTAAGCTTTATTTTGGGAATCATTGGAATTCAGCAGTATGCGTTTGTTTATGACTATGTAGTGAACGCTTTGTGTAATTAAAATTGATTATATTTAAAATAGAAAGATATGTAATGGAACTATTTTTCGGATTTAAATCGCGTATATTTGTTTTTTCATACATACCAAAGTATTCTTTCCGATTTCCACAACACGAGTGATTTAGTTACTTTCTTCAGGATCGGAGCAACGTATGTAATTTGATTGATTGCATCGTTTACACGTCGCCG